GGTCCCTTCCTTTGCTGGGCAGTAGGCAGGATGTGGGTGTTCCACTCTGGCTTAGCCTTGTACCACAAGGACACTGGCTGTTAGCAGTTTGGAGGGCTAGGAAGAACACTGCATGAGCACTCCCGTGCAGGGTGACAGTGTTCTCCTTCATCCTTTGGGAAGGACCGAGTGCTGACTGGCATGGAGGCAGAGGCTGAGAAGCTTGGCTGTTGCCTGTGTACAGCTAACGGAGGTGGGAGTGTCCAGGCACTTTGCTAACAGACCTTAGATGGCGTCTGTCAGCCTTGCTGACACTGGTTGCAGTGTGGGTGTCCTTGCTGGCTGAGGGTGTTGAACACTCGCTCGGGTGTCTTGTTTGCTGTCCATGTGACCTCAGGAAAATGTCTTGTCATTTTTTTCTTTTCCTTTTGTGAGATGGGATCTCTTGTGTAGACACGACTGACCTAGAACTCACTGTGTAGATCAGGCTAGCTTCAAACTCAGAGTTTTTCCTGGCTCTGCCTGAGTGCTGGGATTAAAGACATGCACTACCACATCTGAGCAACTGCTTTCTCCTTGAAACAGGATTTCTCAAAGCAGCCACGGCTGGCGGTGAGCTCAGTTTTGCCGGGCTGCCCTTCAGTGCCGGGATTGCACCGGCCGACTCGTGGTGGTGCCCGGTGTGTACGTCTTCCGCTGAGCTGACTCAGCTCCCGGCTGTGCCGTTGAGTGGACTGCGCCCTTCCCATTCCCTCTGTGGTGACTGTCTTGGGGCCGGATGTCTGCACTGTGTGTGTCTTCCTTACGTGACTTTCCGAGGAGGAGACTGTGCTCCTCTGTGCTCAGCTGTCTCTGTGCCCTCTTTTCAGCACTCCCCTTCCTGTGGATGTGTAAGAGCTAAAACATTGCCAACCTTTAGCTGGAGAAGGTTCAGGTGTAAAATGAGCCTGTATGCACCTAACAGCAGGCAGGCGGGGCCAGGACTGCACCAAGTGCAGCTGGTTGTGGGTCTCCAGTCACAACAAGGTCTGCACTCCAGATAGGAAGCCGGTGGCCAGGGCTCACCAGAGCGCACCACCAGCCCTTCTCAAAACCTGAGACTGGAGAGGTGGCTCAATGGTGAGAGCACCTGGCAGAGGACCTGAGCTTGGTTCCCAGCATACATACATAGTTCAAGAAAATATTAAAAATAAAAAATGATGAACATGGCAGTGTCAGTTAAGAGTCAGCCCAGGCTGGGGCAGTGGTGGCGTGAGTCTTTAATCCCAGCACTTGGGAGGCAGAGACAGGTGGAGCTCTGCGAGTTCGAGGCCAGCCTGGTTTGTAGGTTTGGGATGTGTGCCAGAGTTGGCGGCTACAGTCATATTATGATGGATCTCACACCAACCTCTTGCTATCCTTACTTGTTCAGTAAAATGAAAGAATTCCTACGGCACAGCTGCCATTTAGAAATCCCTGTGAGTTCTGTGGGCTGGAGACTAGCAGTGCCCCCCCCTTTATAGATGGAGAGCTGAGGCTGAGCAGGACACTGGCGACTTCTAGGGATGGCGCTCTTTGTCTCATTAGAGAGGGCCCCGGGGGGTGGGTGGGGGGATCTTCCTGTTAGGATGGAGCACCCTCACCCCGTCTTCTGTGTGGTGGGGCAGGGGCTGCTTTGCCTTGCTTACTCGGTGGCCTCCCAGGGAGACACCAGTGCTGTTTGGGGCAGGCGGTCTGTTGTTGCTGGAGGTGACAGATGCTGACTGTCCTCTTAGCTGTCCATCAATGGCTTTGACTACAACTGCCACGTGGAGCTGATCAGGCTGCTGCGGCTGGAAGGGGAGCTCAACAAAGTGAGGATGGCCCGCCAGAAGATGAGCGAGCTCTTCCCCTTGACTGAAGGTAAGGCCGCCACTCCCGGGAGGGCGCGGGGGTGAAGTAAAGGAGAGAAAGGGAAGCTGGCTGCTTCTCACTTCTTATTGTCTCAGACTGTTCTGCAGAACGTGGTCTGATCACACAGATTCACACGTGGGATACTGGTTTCTTACCCCAATACTATGAGAAACATTTTCTTTAACGTACTTTAACTTCCCTGTGGTCTCTCTCCCATTCCACAAGTGTATACTTAGTCTATGCTCATAGTGCCATGGAATTGTAAATTTATAGATTTAAATCTCTTTTAAAAATCTTCATGTATATGGGTGCTTTTGTCTGCATGCATGTATGTGTGGACCTGGTGCACACAGAAGCCAGAAGAGGGCGCCAGATTCCCTGGAACTGCAGTTATAAACAGTTCTAAGCCACTGTGTGGGTGCTGGGACTCAAACCTGGGTCCTGTGGAAGAGCATCCAGTGCTCTTAACCACGGAGCCATCTTTGCAGCCTCCAAACTTAAATAGTTTAAATGCAGACGTTCCTTTTGGTACAGTAATTGTACATTTTGTTTACTCCCACACATTTGGATCTGAGAAACATGCCTGTAGTGAGAAACTTTGTGGCTGGGTCTTGGTTCATATTTGCGCCTGACCTTTCAGCTCCGAAACCCCGGCCTTGGGGTAGTCTGTCCCGTCTCACAAAGCACAGCTCAGGTGAAGCTGCTGAGAGAGGCCGCGGTGTACGTTTCTAATGCAGCTCCTCAGTAGCAGACGAAGCAGTTTCCCACGGTTAGCCTAGGGTAGCAATGCTTCTTCCCTGGAACATGACAGCAGGGTCCACTCCTGTGGACAGGTGTGTCACAGGCCAGCTGACTCTAAGTCGTCAGATACATGTCATCACTCGGTGTCTTACACGATGGACATAAAGTTTGAGTGGGGACATGTGCAAGGGCTTTGCAAAGTGGGGATGCCTGGCGTGCGACGGCTTCAGTGGCCTCTGTGTCTGGAAGCTCACAGTCCGTGTGCCTTGCTCGGGCTTTAAGATCTGGGTCTCTGGGAACCTGTGGGAGCAGGCAAAGGGTGTGCTGAGGTGTGCTGTCATCTCTAGAGCTTTGGCTGGAGTGGCTGCACGACGAGATCAGCATGGCCATGGACGGCCTGGACCGAGAGCACGTGTACGAGCTCTTCGAGAGAGCCGTGAAGGACTACATCTGTGAGTGCCGGGCCTGGGGCTGCTGGGCAAATCTCTCCTGCCTTGTGCTGCATTTGAAATGCTGCCAGGAAGTCAGAGCTCCATTTCCTGTATCATGTCTCAGTGTTCAGTAGAGGTTATTTGGGCTTGAGACAGGTGGGGAACTACGGGCAGGGGAAGAGTGAAGCCTCCCTCCCTCAGCATCCCTCCGGCAGGTGGGGCTTACACGGGATTTCAGGCACTTCAAGTTTAGCTCAGATCTCTTGACTGACACAGACTCTCACTCTGTAGCCCAGGCTAGCCTTCAGGTTGGGACCCTCCTGCTTCTACCTCCTAAGGCTTGGGTGTCTGTCCCTCTGTGTCCTTTTTGTTGTCCTTGCTTTGAGACAAGCTGTCATACAGCTCAGGCCGGCCCTGCTTCAGCTTCCCAGTGTGCTGTCCAGGAGCCTGTCACCACCCCATCACATGTCATCGTGAGTTCCAACCCAGCATGGTGTACAGGTGTGCGTCACCACATCCTTATACCACATCCTTGTTGTTGGGAGTTCCAAACCAGCCTGGGCTGTGCAGTGAGTTCAAGGGCAGCTTGAGTTACAGAGTGAGACCCCACCTCAAAAACCAAAATAATTCTGAACTATCGGCTTTGCACAGCCTCTTACCAGTTTTAGACAACATATTTTTGAGAAGAACATTAAAATTACTGTAAGCAAGCTGAATGGGGATGTTCTCCTGTAAACCCAGCACTCAGGAGGTGGAGGCAGGTGGATGAAGGGTAGCCTAGGGTACGTAGTGAGATGGAGGCTCTCCTGGGACACATGAGACGTTGTCTCAAAACAAAACCCAAACCCATGAGGACAGTTTTTGGGTCCCAGCTCCCAAAACAACAAGGAAAGAATGGCTGTGCTCACAGGCTGTGGCCGGGGCCTTGTCCTTGTGCTCTTCCTGCTGCTGCCTCTCGCCTCTGCCTCCGAGTGCTGGGATCACAGCTGTCCCCACCATGCCCATTAAGGCGGGCCCATGGCTTGTCACAGATGTGCCACTCTGTGAGGGAGATGTTGGAATCAGACTCCACGTGTGGGAGGGAGGGAGGGAGAGAAGGAGGTCTCACAGTGAGTTCAAGGGCAGGTAAGGTAGTGGGGGAAGACCTTGCTTCAAGAATTTAAATCAAACAAAAAGTGGATTTCTAAGGCAGGGACGATGCTTTGGGTTTTATTCTTTCCTTTTGGCCTGAAGACTTGCAAGACTATGGTCAGCAGAAAAGCTCTAGGATCTGAAATTTTTTATTTCAGATTTATAACTGCAATCATTGAAATACATTACACACACACACACACACACACACACACACACCCATGTCTGTCTTTTTGCGTGGTTCCCTGTTCCCCCCTTCTGTTTTAACTCATTACATGTTGTCCCTCTTGTGCAGCCTCGTGGGAAACTGGGGTGCTTGTAGGCAGCGTTCTTCTTTGCACAGATGAGCACGTTTTGGTGGGGCATGTGTTTTGTTAGCACTAGGGTGACGCTGGGCATACTATGACCTGAACTTACAGATTGCTTCTCCTTTTTAGGTCCGAACATTTGGCTAGAGTATGGCCAGTACTCAGTTGGAGGCATTGGTCAGAAAGGTGGCCTCGAGAAGGTTCGCTCTGTGTTTGAAAGGGCCCTGTCATCTGTTGGCTTACACATGACAAAAGGCCTGGCCATCTGGGAGGCTTACCGAGAGTTTGAAAGTGCCATTGTGGAAGCTGCTCGGGTGAGTGCCCAGGTCTCTGACTAAGCTTGTAGGAAGTATTATTACTTTGAAATGACGTCCAAGAGTCTAACAGTTAACCCATAGTGACAGGGAGCGTGGAGTGAAGCCGAGCCTGTGCTCTGTCTGTTCCCTCTGGTCTCGACCCTGTTCCCAGACTATCTCTGGACACAGGCCCAGGCTGGCCCCGGACACAGCACCTGCTGCCTCAGCCTCCCCACCACGCCTGGCTTTCCAAACCCTCCGGCATTTTGTCTGCTGTGGCTTTACCACACTGCTTTCCCCGGAGTCATGGAGCCTGCCACCCTGTCTAGAACCTTTCCCAGCCTTCTTTTGTGACAGCAGCAGGTCCCCAAGGCTGTGACCCCTAAGTGTTTTGCCTTGTGATACTTAGGCTCCGTACCTTGTAGTCATTTGGACTTTTTTTTTTTTTTTTTTTAAGATTTGTATTTAAATTTTTTGTTGCATTTTTCTTGTGTGTATGTGTGGTGTGTCCACGGCTGCACGTGGGGATCAGAGGACAGCTTGGGGGAGTTGGTGTTCTCCTTCTACCTTGTTGACGTAGGGCTTGAACTCGGGTCGTCAGGCTTGGTGGCAAGCACCCTTTACCTGCTGAGCCATCTCCCTGGCCCCCTGGTTCCTTGTATTCCCTTTTCCCTTTTTGCCATGAGCCCTTAGAGGCAACAATGTGGAGGACACCTCCTGTCTAGGACATCATAGGCTCTTAGTTTGGAATGTCTTTCTGAAGTAGGGAGCCAACCCTGTCCTTTACCACCGATTTGCTTCTCTAGCCCATAGCTGCCTTCCTTTCCCCTTCTGACTGGGAACAAACCTTTGATTCACAGCTGGAGAAAGTCCACAGCCTCTTCCGGCGACAGCTGGCGATCCCGCTGTACGGTAAGAGAAGCAGACACGTCAGTAGACCCTCTGCTTGGCTAGTGCCGTTGTCCATGTCCTTCCCCGGGGTCCTGCGGGGCGGGCAGGAGTGTCGCTCTCCTGACTGGAGAAGTCTGTTAGGAGTTGTTAGTGCTGAGACGTAGGAGGGGCGGAGGCAGGGGAGAGAGCCTGTTCCCTGGAGCTCAGCCGCCGTGTCTTCCTACTTTGAAGACACAGTTGGAAAAGGTCACTGTTGGCCAAGAGTCCCGCTGCTAGTCTGTCTCTGCATGTCAGTGGGCTCCACAGAACTGGGAAGCTGACCAGTGAGAGCTGTCGTGGGCACAGATGTGGGAAGGCTGGGTGGCGTCAGTCTCCTGGCTTCTTTTGTGTTGATAAAACTTGGTGGCACACCCCATGGGCTGACTCCATCTTCCAATAGATATGGAGGCCACCTTTGCCGAGTATGAAGAATGGTCAGAAGAGCCCATCCCGGAGTCCGTCCTTCAGAACTACCAGAAGGCCCTGGAGCAGCTGGAGAAATACAAGCCCTTTGAGGAGGCGCTGGTGAGTGCTCTGCTCCGGGCCTCCCCGCAAGCTCCCCTCATCCGCAGTTGCACGTTCAACAGTCTGTTTAAGTGTGTCTTACTGTGTGCTGTCTAGAGTGTAGAAATGTCTGTCCTAACAAAGTGAACATCCCTGTACCCACCACCCAGGTTCAGAAATAGAGCCTTGCAGTGCCCTAGGAGTCTCCCATGTGCCCTCTCCGATTGCCTCCTCCTCCCTCTCCCATGAGGTAATCAATCGCTGATGACTTTTTATGATAATCCCTCCCCTTGACAGGTGTACCCCTGTGAGCGTCCTGGAGGGTACCGCTTGACCCTGCTCGTTGAACTTGGCCTGGTGGCTTAGGCGTGTTTCTTTCCCGCGTGTGTGGGTTTAGCTTATGTCATAAACGGTTCAGCCATGGCCGCCCTGTGGGGCCGTGTGTGCAGCACAGTGGTGAGGTGTTGTCTGTGTGCGTGGAGGAGTTCCTCTAGCGTGTGTCAGAGGTCACAGTGTCACGCTACAGGTGTCCCTGGGTGCCTGCACCCTGCCAGCAGTGACGGGACCCTCAGCTAGCTCTACCAGTTCCACAAGCTAGGGTTGGAGCTTTGTGTTTTCCGTGATTGCTAACGACAGAGCGCTTGCTCATGTGCCTTGGCCGTTGGGGTTTTTCACTTTTAGAAGTTGTGAAGTTTTTTGTTTTTTCTTAGTGCTTCTGGGGAGACCCGGCTTCTGATCCTTCCTCTTGGCATCTTTTTGCTTTTGAACTGCTGTCTTTGTGGCGCTGATTTCATCGTGAAGCTGTAGTCTGAGGGTTTCCATCCAGTGGGAGCGGGCAGTAGGGTCAGAGTCTGTGGAGAGCCACTTGTGGTCCTGACGAGGACAAGTGTGTCCCTCGCTGCAGTACAGAGACTGCGGGTTTGCCATGACTCTGCCCGCTGTCCTGCTTTGCAGTCTTGGTAGTGACAGTTGAGCACTCTTCACTGAGCCCATTTTCCAAAGGAGCTTGGCTTGCTTCAGCGGTTGGCATGTCCGTCAGACCCACACTCGCCTGTCAGTTCTGTTGAACGTTGATTGCTATTGCCTGGATCTGCGGGTCAGCTGAGGGAGTTCCCAGCTCCTGGCATGTGGACCCCAGGTCTCCTGAGAGGCTGTGATCGCCCTGGGTGGCCGCTGTCTCGGAACTTTAGACAGACAGTGCTTTGGGTGTCCTTGTCGGTTGGTTCTTCTTAAAGACTTTCATTTTCTGGTTGTGCTTCCTGATGTGCAAGAGCGCAATTGACACTTCTCGTTATTGGTTTTCTTCTTCATCTGTCGTGTTCGCTCACGTGCTAACAGTGTTGATGTGGTGACCCTTACCACACACCTCCTTGTGTGTGCTCTCATTCTCGTGACTTGTCCTGCTCTTCGGTTTGACCCTCTAGACGACATCACTGTTTGCGCGGTCTCAGACAGGCTCTGTGTGCTCTTTGCTTTGCTGCTCGTTCCTTTGGAGTCTTAGCTCTGCATCTGGACCCTTGCGGCTTGAAGCTGAGTGTGCTGTCTCCGGGATTCCCTGGCGGCAGGGTTTCTCCATTTTGATTCTACAGGCCGTCTCTGCTTTCCTTCTCGACAGCTGCTTTCTCAGGCCGTGGCGTCGCACTGACGTGCTTGCTGTTCTTGTAACAGAACACATCTCTCTCTTGTCTTCTGTCGTCACAGGCAGTTCAGCTCTCTGTCACCGTCTGTGATTTTAATCTCCCATTGGTTTGATTGGCTGTCCCGCGATCTCATTTCCTTAGGTGGGGCCGGCCGCCTTGTCTGTCTGTCTTGAGCTGCCTTAGGCATCTCGGTTCTGTTTTCAGCATCTTTGTGAGCACAGAGAGGAAGAGGCTGCCACACTGAGAGTTGGCCTGCGCCGGTTTTGAACCGAGCTCTGGCACTTAGTAGCTCTGACTCGGGGTGTTGAGCTTCCCTGTGCTTCGCTTTCTCTGAACGTAAGATGCTTTCTGACACCCGCCTCCTACAAACGTTTAGGGATCGGTTTACTGCAGTCAGCAGAGGCCTGACCCCGAGCAGGCTTCCTGCTTCATCAGGGTCCGTCCTCGTGCCAGGCCGGCTGCTGGAGCCGCTCTAGTCAGGTGTGCAGAGCCGTGTCCTCCTTTCTTCTTCATCTGAACAGCGTGTGGGCACTGTGTGTGTGCACACGCCGTCTGTTCCACTGTGGCCGTCAGCAAGAGGGTGTTGGAAGAGAAGATGGGGTGAGAGGGTGCAGAGGCTGTGTTGTGTGTCAGGTTGGCAGCTCTCAGCCTGGCCCCCGTCTTGGGCCTGCACCCGTGTTCTCCTGACACGTGTTTGGAGTGTGAGCCTTGCACTGCACCGCCGGGAGGACGTGAGCAGTGGTCCTAGGCAGGGGTGCTGCTCTGTCTGTCGTCTGTGGTCAGCAGTGGTCCTAGGCAGGGGTGCTGCTCTGTCTGTCGTCTGTGGTCAGCAGTGGTTGTAGAAAAGGTTTGGGTCCTGGGGGCGGGGTCGGGTGTGGAGGATTCCAGCGCTCACAGGTCACAGCTCTGTCCCGGTGTGGGCAGTTAGGAGCTCTCATCCTGGGTTAGCTGCTCTTGCCAACGCTGAACTATTTGAAGATGCTTTCTGAGAGTGTCAAGCATCTAGACTTAACAAGTGTGATTTTCCTGTGTTCCAGTTGCAAGCAGAGGCCCCAAGGCTGGCGGAATACCAAGCGTACATTGATTTTGAGATGAAAATTGGGGATCCTGCTCGCATTCAGTTGATCTTTGAGCGTGCCCTGGTGGAGAACTGCCTGGTCCCAGACTTATGGATCCGCTACAGTCGGTACCTAGTAAGATATGTGCTCCAGTTCTGTGTGTGTCAAGGCAGAGCCGTCTTAGGAGGTGGCTCGGAGCAGCACGGTGCCCCCTCTGCTTTCCCCTTCTGTCCCCCTTGACCCCTTTCCCCTTGCTTTCGATGCTGCTTTAAACTTACACCAGCTCCAAGAGAACCTGTCTGCCGTCTTCCTACTGAGGACTGCAGCAGTAGCATTTCAAGCTGCATTTCATCATGGAAGAATGTTAGATGTGAAAGAGGTGGTTAAAGCAAGCTTCCTATACACACCCCATACACACCCCGTACACACCCCATACACACCCCGTACACACCGCTGGCCTTCAGCAGCAGTCAGAGGTCTGCATGGTTACTGTCTCATCTCTGCTGTTCTTTACGGCTGCCTCAGCATGTACAGGAAGTGCCTTCCTGAGTGAAGGGGTTGGCGGAAGTCCACACATCAGGATTGTGTCTTGTGGGCCATTTTGGACTACCAGCTCCCTGCCCTGCCCATCTTGCGTGCTCCTGGTGATTTCTTCCTTGAAGAAGCCAGGCCACAGCATTCTTTTAATTGTTGTTGTTTTCATTTTTTTTTTTGAGACAGGTCTCAGTATGTAACCCAAACTGGCCTCAAATGTGTGACTCTCCTGCCTCAGCCTTGTAGTTTTTTTTTTCCCCCCTACTCTTTAGGGGCCTGCCACCCAGCTCCCAAATAAATACACAGACTTATTCTTGCTTATGAATGCCTGGCCTTAGCTTGAGTTGTTTCTAGCCAGCTTTTCTAACTTAAATTATCCCATTTCTTTTTATCTATGTTTTGCCTTTCTTTATTCTACATATCTTTCTTTCCTTCTTACTCCCTGGGTGGCTGGGTGGCTGGGTGGCTGGGTGGCTGGGTGGCTGGGTGGCTGGCCACTGGCCTCCTCCTCTCCTCCTTTTCTCTATCCTCCCTCTTGTCTTCAAGCCTAGATTTCTCCTACTTAATTCTCTCTGCCTGCCAGCCCCACCTATCCTTTCTCCTGCCTTGCTGTTGGCCGTTCATCTCTTTATTAGACCACCAGGTGTTTTAGACAGGCATAGTAACACAGCTTCACAGAGTTGAACAAATGCAACATGAAAGAATGCAGTGCATCTTTGGATCATTAAACAAATATCCACAGCCTAAACGAATGTAACCCAGCTTTAACTATATCCACAGCACAGCCTCCTGAGTGCTGAGCTGACAGGGCACACCTTGTGCATTCCTTGCTTCACCAGAGACCTTTTAAAGGGGTCTCTTCAACAGGTGGCTGTGCTGGGGTGTCTCACTGATGTCATTAGTCACTTTTCTCATCCATGACCAAATGCCGGACAGAAGCAGCTTAGGGGAAGCGGCTGAGGGGCGCAGCAGCCCTTGATGGTGTGGGGGTGCTGATGTGCTTCTGGAGGTGGCATCTGCTGGGTGCATGGTTTCCCTCAGGGATTGGAGAGAGATACAGGGTGGGCTTTGGTTGATTCCAGCTGTAACCCTCAGGGCTCTCACCTCTCCCACTGACCACTTGCTCAGCTAGGGCCTGCCTCCCCAAAGTGTTACAGCCTCCCAAAGTAGTGCCGGCAGCTGGTCCCGAGGGCTGGAAGGTGCGCCTGTGGGGGTTCACACTCAGCCTGTCCCCCGAGAAGGCTGCAGTTCTGTCCTCACTCTGGCTCTCTGTCACAGGATCGGCAGCTGAGAGTAAAGGATTTGGTTTTATCTGTACACAGCCGTGCTGTGAGGAACTGCCCCTGGACAGTGGCCCTGTGGACTCGGTACCTCCTGGCCATGGAGAGACACGGAGTGGACCATCAAATGATTTCTGGTGGGATGTTTGTCTGGAGAACGTCTCAGTTCTTTTTTTGGAATGTTCTTCCTGTGCAGCTCCTGTGGAGCCTGGGCTTGCTGGGATGAACCACATGAACCGCCATGCCCGGCAGCTCCAGCCTTTTGTCCCAAGTGAGGACCAGAGCTGTGACAGTCTTGAGCCAGCGCCCCAGGGCCTGCCTTGTACCTGACAGACGCTGTTTGGCTTCTTAGCGCGTTAGCCTCTCATACTCAGTGGCTTTCTTAGAAGTCACGATCTGTCTTTTATGACTGGGACTCTATAACTCTCTCTGGAAGAGTCCCTTCTAGAGCGCAGTGCTCGAGGGGCGTCCCCCGCAAACACTGTGTCTATACTTTTCTAGAGCGCAGTGCTCGAGGGGCGTCCCCCGCAAACAGTGTGTCTGTACTTCCTTCCCCGGTGTGTGGTGCTGTGGATGGACATCTACAGCCTGTGCATTTATAAGTGCATAATTTATAAGTGCATGAGGCACACACTTATGAGTTTTGATGGCTTTATTTCTTTTTGGATTGTCTAGTGAATGTTGTGTTTTTCTCCACTGCAGCGACCTTCGAGACTGCTCTGAGTGCCGGCTTCATCCAGGCCACTGACTATGTGGAGATTTGGCAGGTGTACCTGGACTACCTGAGGAGAAGGCCGGCTGCTGGAGCCGCTCTAGTCAGGTGTGCAGAGCCGTGTCCTCCTTTCTTCTTCATCTGAACAGCGTGTGGGCACTTGTGTGTCTGGCACTGTGTGTCTGTTCCACTGTGGCCGTCAGCAAGAGGGTGTTGGAAGAGAAGATGGGGTGAGAGGGTGCAGAGGCTGTGTTGTGTGTCAGGTTGGCAGCTCTCAGCCTGACCCCCGTCTTGGGCCTGCACCCGTGTTCTCCTGACACGTGTTTGGAGTGTGAGCCTTGCACTGCACCGCCGGGAGGACGTGAGCAGTGGTCCTAG